ACAGAACTGAAGTCTGGGGCATATCTGGACTTGTTCCATGGCACTTCTACTGCTCTTCAGCACAAGCTTAGTTCTTAGTAAGGCAGAGGAGTGTTCTTATCACCATAGGATAGATCTTATTGCTGTTCTCTGGACAAACTTTTCTGTGTGCTCCAAGCAGGAAAAAAGTCCCAACTAATCCTTATAAGGAGCTCAGGGAATTAATTTGTCCTTTTGAAGAAGACTCCAGGCTGTCAAAAGGTTTTGCTGAGCCTGACCTGCCTTTGTTTTGAAGAAGTATTTGTTGTCTCACACCCAGCACAGTTTCTCCCAGGAGAGCTGAGAGGGTTTATTTGGCCGATGCATTGCTCCTTTTGACTGAGCATGGTTGTGTTCTGTTTATGGCTCATCCCCAGAGACTCGAGTAAATGCTGGAAAATGTCACAGCACATGAATCCACTGAGACAGTTATAAAAGTAACAGGGGAAAAGAACAACCACCACTGCCATAAAATAAAGAAGCAAAACCAGAGAAAAGGGGGAACTCACCCAAAATGTAGTGAGGCTCTTTGGAAAGAAGGGCTTTCAACTGTATTGTCAAGTTAACAAGACTTTCAGTGAGCCAGAACACTTCACATTGCTGAAGGACTGGCTTAAATGAGTGTTTCTTAAGCCTATTGGAGGAACATATCCATACAGCAGCAACGGAGTAAAACCATGTTAGCATCTGAGCAGGAGAGCTTTCCTTAATTTAGCAGGGAATGGCAGTGCATGCTGACAGAAGGTGACATTCCCTCCCCAGCTTAGTACAGCTTTTTACCTAGCATGATCAGCTTGCCAAATGAAGGCTGCAACGTGACCATTTGCTGCCCTTGAGGGTCTGCAGTGCACTGTAACTGCTCAGCTTGGCTCATGGGTATATTGATGAGCTTGGCATGTGAACAAGGCTGGTCTCAACTCCCAGAGCTGGACATAGGAACACAGTGAGACTGTGATGAGGCAGACAATAACAAACACCACTACCCATTCCTCTGCAGCTGAACACTCAAGTGAACCATATAACAGGGAGTTACAGTGCTGATCTGCCTTCAGACTGTGCTCTTGTTTGATGCCCAACCCCATCTCTAATGTCTGGAGGATGATTGCCACAGTGATGAGACTTGAACTGTCCACGGCCAAGATTAACTGAATCCTTGACACTCCTGCTGCAGCTCCACTTTCAGCCTTGGCATTCAGCTGTCAGACACTTGCTCTGAGCACCCGGAGGTGACAGAGTGACTGATGCTTGCTATGATTAATTACTATGGGGACCAGTTTCCACAGTCCTACTCTGAGCCTGTTGTGTGGGTGAGTGCATGTGTTGGAGTGTTGACTCTTGTAGCCTGTCAGCATAGACCAGGGTAATTGCTGTAATTACTTCTTTTAGCTCTGATTGGGTTTCATGGACCATGGCAGCTAAGCACAGTTGATAAATTGCCACTTTTATGCAGTATTGATCTAGACTGGGAGAAAATAGAGCCTTAAACCAAGGTAAAAAACCAAATGTTTAAAATGGTCAGCTTTGCTGCTTGAACCTTTGTGTCAAGTGAACTGTGCTCCAGATGTATCCAGATGGGCTGAATAGCAAGGATTAGTTCCTTGGGAACTGGAGCTGCACTCTGATTTCTGGAAGAAATATGCTGCTTTACATAGCTCTGGCTTTTCTACTCAGATTTTACTGGGGATTTTTTGATCCTGAAGCTGACAGAGGACTTGAAAAGGGAAATGACTCCCAAATGAGTGTTTGTACTGCATGTATTCCAGCTCATCCCTTCTCCACAATCCCTATGCTGAAAGAGACACGGCTTTGGCTTTCAGCAAAGGTTAAGTGTTTTAAATCTGTGTGTAGAGAAGGGTCTCACAGTGGGTTAAGGCAGCTTTTGGAGCTAATTAGTCCATGAGGTCAGGAACAGGGCTGTCTGGAAGGTGCTGGGTGACATGCAGAAAGCATAAGCATGGATTTCAGACTTCTAGGGAACATGAGCTTTGTGTGGGCAGACAGCTGGAAGATGGGTTTGATTGCAAAGGTATCTTCTATGCCTATGATTTTACCTGCTCAGCATGCTTGTGCACATACACACATGCTTATAGTCAGTTCCTCCTCTTGCAGGCAGCAAATACACTTCCTAAGGCCTCTTTAGCATGAAGATGTGCTGGGATGAACCCCCTGTGAATGGGGGTGCCCTACCCCATTGCTGGCGCCACTTTGGTGGAAGTGCAGTGTTTGTTACTGCAGGGTGACAGCTTTACTCCAAGGCTTTTGGTTTTAAACATCTGTTTCCAAGCACCTTGCTTTATTCAGAGAGCTTTTCTTTGTCAGACAGGCTGGGTGAAGAAGTGTGTCTCAAAATGAGTCTGCTTCATGGAAAACTTCCCTTTGCTTTTTTTAATTAAGAGGATGGCAGAATGTACCAGCTTTTGGCTTTTCACTGGTATCTCTGAATCATGTTCCAGTTCCTAGTGTTTCACACTCTGTAATCTTCTGCACTGATTCTGGTTTCATCTTTGAAGTCATTTACCAGGCTTGTTCATCAAAAAGCAATCAGACATGTTCTTCATATGATGCCCTGAGAACTGCCACATAGACTAGAATATTTCCTTTGATAAGCAGTCTCAGACACACAGGCATATCTCCATGGCTAAACAGGTTACCGTGCATTAACTGAGCCCCAGTAAATCACTCTTTGCATAATCTTAACTCATAGCAAGTTCAAGGTAGGCATGTTAATGTAACCATAATGAAGGAATGTAACCCAAAGCATCTGCCACCAGCTGAGAACATGCACAAACTCAATTACTGTAGCACAGTAAATTGCCAAGCCGCAATAATTCTGTCATAAATCTACGTCTGTAGGTTAATTTGGTGTGACTTTTGCATCTAGACTCCAGCCTTCACAGAGATTGCAGAAGCTGATTCCCTGTTGTTCTGCACTTATACTGTCATTTACAGCAAACCAGAGTGCAAAGTGGGTGTACAGTGCTACAAAAGCATAAATATTTTCCCTGATGTCTCTGCTTTTATCCAGCCTACTCATTAGATTTAGATTCCAAACTCGCCAGTTTTGTTTTGGGTCAAACCCTCTAATTCTATATCATTATCTGTACTATTCTCTCTAGGGAACCTGGCCCACAGCCTGTAGGGAGGTAGAAGCAGTAACTCAGCTCTTTGGTATCAACTCCATGTGTCACTGAATCATCTCATGCAATGGATTTAAGCCAGGCCAGACATGGGCACATAAGTATGTTTTTAACCTACTAGCCAGAGCACAGCATCATATAAATGACAGCTTCAGGCCGAGCATTGGCTGTCCCCTGCTGTGAGAGAAGACGTCATCATGCCATTACACTGCAAATCTCTCTAAAGGAACCACAGCAGCTGCTTTGCAATCTTGCTGTCTTATTCTAGCAAACTAGGAGAATTATGCTTGATCAAAATCACTTTTATTTATAGCTCAAGCTGTCCCAAGGGGAGGCAGGTATTCGGGAAGAGAAGTACACGCATATTTGTTTAAACTAGCACTGACTGCCCATTTGTTCACACAGACAAGTTCCCAACTCGTGACCTGACATCTGTGTGTGCTAGGTTCAGAAAGGTGGTGTCTGCTGGTGAGGACTCAGGCCCTGACCATGCCTGGATTAAGTCTTCCGCTGCTGACTGTTACAAGCAGTGTGTCCTGCAGGAAAAAGGATCTGGACAGTGTCTGGATCCTTTGGCTCTACTGAGATCACAGGCAGAGGTTTATACAGCTCCCTGTGCTCTGCTCACTCGGAGCCTGGGACCTGTCCATTTACAAGAGCAGCAGGACTCGCTGTGGTCAGGAATCTCTCATATCTGAAGAGATTCCCTGTCCCACCTCTCACTGCAGGACAGGCATCAGGTGAAAAGGTGATGCAGCATCTGTCCCCAGCTTCTGAGTGAGCTAGGTACATGACACTGGCCCAAAAGGGGCTAAAGGAACCTGAGAAGCTAAAGCAAGAAAGACACTGCTGAAACAGAGTTTGTGTGAAGTGATGCAGGGAGCAGAAGGCTTGTGAGAGAGGCACAAGGATTGCTGGAGCGAGAAACCAGCATGCTGCTGAAACGTCATGGTTTCACAGCACTGATTCTGGGTTAGGCAGGAGGCATGCAGACCATAGCCCTGTTGGGCTTCTCACAGTTAGAGCTGATGAATCTCTGGTGTCTGAGACAGGGCAGTAGGCCTGAGAGGCTGATTTACCTCATCTGCTCTATGTTGAGGAGCCTCTCCAGTGAAGTGATAGCAGCTGAATTCCACAGTCACCTTATAGAGCCTATTTTAATCAGCTTTCTGTGTATTTGTAGCTTGTTTCGCTTTACTTTGACAAAACTTGCTGCTAGTGTACAAGTTGTATTCCCATTACATGCTACAAACTCCCCTAGCTATGTGTTAATATCTCTGTAATGGCTTGGTTATAAACAGGAGTGATGGCTTCTAATGCAGAGCAAGCACAAAACCTCTGTGCTGTTTGCTTGCTTTCCTTCACTAAGTCTGGGAAAAAATCCTGCAGCTGAGATTTAAGTGATGTAATCTTTATAGTCTCATCAAAGCTATGGATACAGTTGATTGCATGCAGCAGGGAAGCAAAGCTAAGCTTGGTTAAATGCGCTCACTTGTTTTCATTATCCCACTTTTTTTTTTATGGGCCCAGCATGGCAGCTTGGAAATACAGCACATTTTTCCTCCTTCAAAGGATCTGCGATTTGCTTTGTTTAAGTCTCTTTGAATGCATTTCTAGGTCTGCTAATCATTCATCACACTCTAATATATTTAGTCCACCAGCATCACTCTTTCTTTGGTGAAGAAAATTGTTATTTATGAGTCAAAAGCTATTCATGAAGCAGACAGTCTGGTATTGTCAGAAAACAGGAGTGGGGGGAGCAGTTCTAATTACTAAAAGAAGCTTGGATTGAAAAGAGTGAGTTAATTTAGCAAGTGCAACTGGTTTTCTCTTTTTTTTCTCTAGATGTGCAGAAGGAAGCATAACCCATTCATCCGTCAGACCTAACCTGAAACTACAGGACTCGCTCAAATGCCCCAGGACGTGGACAGGTCAGTTCTGGTTTACTTTGTTTGGATGGTGTGAATAGTGCTTGCTGGCAGTGGTTGTTTTGTAATCCACAGACTCAAAAGCAATTTTGCTGTAAGGGAGAACCTCATAGGAGCTGGCCTTTTATCCTGACAGGGTATGGCTAGACACACTAAAACCAAGATGGTGTGTGTCCTGTTGTTTCAGCTTGCAATGTCATTTATTCTGTTGTGTTAGGGTTGCTTGAGCACCTAATTTTCCATCAGACATTGAGATGGATTCACACATCACGGAGAGCTAAGCATCAGTTGAACTTAGTAGCTTTAGAGATTCTGGTTAATGTATAAGCTGAAGATGTCAGGGCAGGGATCATCTTTCTGTTCTGTGCTGGCTCAAAACTGAGCAGACCTTTGGCTCATGCCAAGGATCCAAAATGCCCTTAAACAGATACTTCAGCTTTTTAATTCTTCCAGATACACAGTTTTATATCCTAGCAGGAGGAGGGATTAATCTTGGAGAGAGCTATCCATGAACCCCAATTGTGTTGCAGCCTAAGCTGAGGTTTTACTATTGTGCTCACTAAGCCTGGCTGAGGTTCACATGCATCTATTGGATTAGTTCTTGTATAACTACCAAATATTTCAGCATTTAGCTTGATGAAACGTTCTACCAGTAAGAACAATATGAAAGTAAATATTCCTGAAGGAAATAATGAAGCTTCCCCCATGAAATGCAGAAGAGAGAAAAACCTCACACATGACTAGTTACTTGACCTTGGCATAACCTACTACAAAGGGCTCAGATGCACTGCCAGCCCTATGCAGCATCTTCACCAAAACCTTGTATACAAGCCCAAGTGACAGATGAAGACAGTTGAAATACTCCCAGCGATGTGAATTCTTATGCTGGATGTGCTTAACCAAGTCAAGTCAATAATTATGTTTTTTGGACGTATCAACTTCTGTATAAAACACAGTGGTAAAATACTGTACTTACAATACAAATTGTCTACAGTGTTACAGTGGTCTGGCAGTTTCTATTATTTCTTCATGCAGGGAGGTTGTGAGTTTGTAGATTCCATACAATTGTCTATCGTTGCTAACCAAACTCATATAGATTGGTGCTTATATTTGACTCATTTATAGTTGTTTCCCTCAACTTTTACAGCTCAGGAAGACAGTGTCCCTGTGAGAGCAGTGGCTTTATACCCCCATCTCAGACCTGTACTGCTATGCACCAGATGTGAATGAGTAGTGCCAAAAAGTAAATACAGACAGCTGCTGTGATGCCAGGAGTACCAGCATGACTGCTCTTGTCTAGGTACTTATCTGGGTTTCATCCCTTCCTCCTCCAAATCCTCCCCAGTCTGGTTCTGTCTAGAAGAGAAGAGATGGAGAAATTTAGGACCATTTTCTCTTCTGTCTGTGTCTTTCTGCATCCTTTTCTCCCATGTCTGATTCTCCAAGCTTCAGTCTAGACAAAAGCCAAAATTCTTAAGAATGAACTGGCACAAGGGAGAAAAATAGAAATGCAACTAATCTGAAAAGCACACCAGAAAAAATACAAGATGTCCCCTGAAGACCATCTTTTCCTGTTATGTGCTTGTATGATGCGTAAGTGTAGGTCCCTGGAGTCTGGCCCCTTACAGCTAAGTTGCTGCTCGTGGTAAAAAAGAACAAAATAAGCATATAACATCAGGGTAGCTTGTGCAAGTCTCTATTTAATTACAGTGCTGTATGAAGACATTTGTTGGTGTCACATGTACTTGTGATGGCTATTACACATTCTTGACTCTTCAGGGAGTCATGTTTTCACTGCAGATTTTCACCACAGAGGTAGTGGCTTTTTCTTCCTGTTCTTCTTTTCTTTTCAGCAGGATTTAATAAGCTAGCTAGACCTACTGTAATTAGTTTACTCTTCAATCAGGAAGATAAACAGTATCATGACTGTAGTGGGAGCAAGCAGGCAAGCGCCAAATACAGTGCAGGCAGAATTCACTAGCTTCTTAATTAAAACCTGTTCAGGGGTGCAGAGAGCCACACGGGCTTCAGGAAGCTGTGAATCTCAGGGAAGAAAAGCAGGAACAGGAAGACTCAATAAGCAGAACTAAAGCTTCAGTTACAAATAATGAATCACAAAATAGGGACTATAGCAAGGGTCTTAAGTTTTTCTTCAGGAATGAAGAAATGAAATCTTCTCACTAATGTGATTTAAAAAACATATCAGTACCCTTACCATCATCAGCATGTCCCTCCTTCTGAAGTCCTTGGGAAAGCAGTGTTTTTTTCCAGAGTGGAAGTAACAGTGAGGACTGTGTTTGCCAGACACAGATCTGTGGGCAAGAGGCCTCAGAGTCTTGCATGATGCGACTGACTGTAACAAACACTATCCATCACAGCTATAGGCAGGTTGTCATTGCACCAGGTGCTGGACAGATTGCAAAGACTGTTGTTGTTCTTGGCATTAGTTTATTCTTTGTAAAGCCAGAGGGTGATATATTTCCATCCTCTCTCAAAAAGAGTTCTGAAGGCTTGATTCATGGGTGGAAGGTGCTATAGTTTGTTGTCTTTAAGTGCAGATGTATAATGCGAAAGGAAAACCTGCTGCAGGGGAGATGAAAAGACACGGCATTACTGCCTTTCCAAGGGCAGTGGGTATCTTCCACAAGCTACCTTCGAGCCTGGAGTGTTAGGAATAAGTGGCTTAATCTGTCATTGGGATGAACGATGGGCTGCAGGTAACTTCTCCCAACAAATCCTTAATCTCTAGGAAATGACACCAGGCTTTTTTTTTGGTCCAAGTTAGCAAGTGTATGAGGGATATAGGCCCTTTTTCAGCAGCTTTTTTCCTCCATGACATTTTGGAAGAGTCTTTCATCAGTGAGTCCAGTAGTTCAGGTGAGTTGAGTTATAAAGCTCTGCATCTAGATTCAGAAAGAAAATGTTTGAACAAGGTCCACAGTATTGAAGATGAGGATTTTGTCCTGGGTTAACACTGAACACAAAATAAAATCATGGGACAAAGTTAAGACACTGTTTAGATTCCACTTCTTTTCAGGGCTCACACCAGGTTTAATACAGGGCAAATACCACCTATGGCAACTTCCAAATGCTTTAAAGCTTTCTTTCTTATATGCATATTATTTTCTATTTTGATAAGGTTAACTTGAAAAGTCCAATGGCACCTTCTGTTTTGCCATTGTAAATACATCAGAAAATTAAGCAATAGCTTGTTACTGTTTTTCCACTCAAATCCTACTGGCTTTATGCTATTTTTGAATCTTTCACGTAATACCAGCCTGAGTTGATTCCTATCATTGAGCAGACTTGCTTGGTTAAAACTGGGGAGGAAAAGAAAAGAGCAGATAGCTTACGCCTGAGATCTCTTGAGTCAGTGTTTCCAATTTTGTAATTAAAAAAGGATTGGAAAGTTTCCTGTGCTTCTGTAAGAAGTGGGTTTTGGTTTTTTTCCTTGCCCATAATCCTATTAACATACAAAGTACAAAGGTTCCTTGGCTGTGCATTGCAGTGCCAAGACAGAAGAGTGCCTAGCCCCATCTTATATGTTCTTCATGTTTTGTTCTGACAGCATCATGTAACACCTGGCTCATGTGTGTCAAAAAAATGTTGCTCTGATAAGCATGTACTCTCCTATCTAGTTAATACATAGGACCTGTTTCTGCTGAGGGCATAACCTAAAATCCTTCACTAAGCTGGGACACATTTGGCCATCTGTAGGATCACATTTACAGCTGTGAACAGACTTTAAAGAGCCATGTTCAAATCCTGTAAAAGTCCATGGGCTAAATACTGGGAACACTGGGCATCAGCCTCTTCCAGGAGTACAAGGTTTAGAATGGAAAGCTTTGGATCAAGGTGGGAATCCTGTTCCAATTTCACAAAATGGCTAAAAGCATTACAGCTTTTAGCTATTGCTGCTTGACATAATCTCTTAACATACAGATGGAACACATTTTATCAGCACAGTCCATCCCATAGGTAAAGGCTTTGTTAGCAATGTAGGAAAACCAGGAAATAAAACAGCCCCTACTGGCAGCAGTCTTCATCTATCCTGAAGCAGAAACTATGTGAATATTCCACAAACTGCATAGAAAGAAAAGGGATATTGCTCTCCAGATTGTGTTTTAACATCTTTAGAAAACAGCAGGTAACTAGAACTTGGGAACCTTCCTCTGCATATGGCTTTTGTAATCATCTAGCTCTCTAGATCCAACATTAATTTCTAGCCAGGCCTATTTCCATGTCATTTTATTAATCTTACTATATTTTATTTACAGAGATATTACAAAATATATTGTGAACTGAGTACAATTAATACGTACGGTGTGGATTTGGAAACGCCAGACTGTGATGAAATTAGGCTGTTACAGGTTTTCAATTGTTTTTATCCATGAAAGATAGATACTAGAGGGTAAGGGATGCTGGAAACATCCAGACCTTTCCACAGTCCAACTTGGAACAGGAGCAGGTCCAGCTAGGGACTTTCTTGGGGTTTTATTCTGGCTTTTTCCAAAACACACAGTTTAATCTCATTTACTGTTAATTTAAATTAATTTAGGCACAACGTTATTCGGTACTCCCTCTATTGAGAGACATAGGCAAATCTTATCTGAAGTGGTCCTTGGCTTCGTGGCACCCCAAAGTTAGGTGAGAAGAACTGAACCTAGCTTAGCTGACTTGTTCAAGTTCACATGGCAGACGTGGCTGCAGATACCACACACGGCACACTGTCTTCCTCTTTCTACATTCACCACACTAACACTCCTCACCTAGTTTTGTAACTTCTTGTATGAGAGTGGAGATGAGATGCTGGTGGGCAGAAATTGCTGCTGGGCTGGCTGATGATAGATGGTAGTTGGTGTCCTGCTTGATCTGCATGTATACCATGCAGTGCAAGGTATCGCTTCTTTAGTTCACTCCGTGTGTTTTTTTTTGGCTTAGGCTTCTGTTCAATTCATCCTATTTGTTCATATTTACACTGATGCAGTGGTCCCACATGAGAC